GATCTGTGCTGAGCATGGAGCCTGCTTGAGATCCTCTATCTCTCCCTCCCTCTGCCCCTCTTCCCAGCTAGCACTCTCTCTCTAAAAAAATCTATTTTACTCTTAAAGGTATGCTAAGTTTTTCTAAAAGAAATAAAGGAGCTAGACAGCCCTAATACTGAGTTCTAAGATCCTAAGCAATTTTTTTTAACTCCCTTTAATATGTTTCTGGAACTATAAATTAGGGAAAATGTCTGTGCAAATACAAAGGATGTCAATAAAAAAAATCTATGGAGAAAAGGGATTTTAAGCCAAACCTTGAAGATATTAATATTTTGCCCTAAAAAATGTGTTCCTATAGTACTCTCCATTTCTCTTAATAACACTTACTCTGATTTGTGTAACAGAATCTAAGCTCTTTGAGAATGAAGGAATATTCATATTTAAAAAATTTTTTACCTGGTTGGTCAAACTAATTTAACTGGCTTTTTTTCTTTTTTTAAGTAAAATACAGGAGCACCTAGGTGGCTCAGTGGGTTAAGTGTCTGACTCTTGATTTTAGCTCAGATTATGATCTCATGGTTGTGAGATCCAGGCCCCACATCAGGCTCCTCACTGAGTGTGGAGCCTGCCTGGGATTCTAGATACCTCTCCCTCTATCTTTCTCTGTCTCAATATAAATAAACAAACAAATATTTAAAAAACATAAAAGTGAAATGCAGATGCTCACTTTAGCTACTATCCTTTTAAAATCTGTGGGCATAAATGTCCTTTATAAAAAATATATATGTAAATTTGATAAGCCTTAAACCTTAAAAAAAAAAAAAATAAGGGAAAATATGTACATGGATGGAATTAATAAACCTAAATGTAAAATTAGTGATTCTGACAAAAAAGGAAAAGAGTAAAGTTGGTTCTTGAAAAGCTGAATGAAGTAGATAAACCCCTAGAAGTTTCCAGTAAGGAACTTTCCGTAAGGAAAAATATAGGTAACATTTAAATGAAAAAGGAAATTTAAAACTACAATGAAGAGATTAAGAAAATTACTAGAATACTGATGCAACTTCATATCAAAATTTCTTTAAATCTAGGGCACCTGGGTGGCTCAGTCAATTAAGGGTCCAACTTTGGCTCAGGTCATGATCTCACCGTTTGTGAGTTCGAGCCCTGCATGGCGCTCTGTGCTGACAATTCAGAGCCTGGAGCCTGCCTCAAATTCTGTGCCTCCCACTCTCTCTGCCCCTCCCCTGCTCACACGCGCACTTTCTCTCTCAAAATAAGTAAACATTAAAAAAAATTTTTTTTAATTCTTTAAATCTAGAGTTGCTATATTAGAATATTTTTATTTCCAAACCTAAGGAAAGGTGGAAAAAATGATCAGATCTATAACCATATTACCAATTCAAATATTTTCAAAAGATCTACCACTAAATCAGCTACTTGATTTTATAGGCCAGTTGTATACAATCTACAAGGACCACCTGATTCCTATGTGATTCTCATTCTGTAGCACAGAAAAAAAGATTAAACATCCAATTCATTTTTCAAAAGTTCACAAATTCCAAGAGAAAAGAAAACATTAATGCAAAAATTTTAAATACAAAATCCTGAATAAAATATTTGCATCATAGCAAATACAAGTTTTGTTACTATAATCTGTATGACCTTGGGCAAATTATTTCACCTCTCCTTAGTTTTTTCACCTGTAAAACGGAGATAATAGTACCTAAAGTATGAAGTTGTTATGAAGATTAATTAGTAAGTACAAAATTCTTAGAATAGTGCCTGGCTTCTAACAAATGCTCAATAAGTGTTAGCTATTATTATCCCAAGAACAAAAAAGCAACACAATACATTGCATTATCATGTCAAAGTGGAAAATGTGATCTATAAACATAAGTATTTGATAATGTTTTTACGTAGACGCTTTGGCAAGTCTTTAAGTACAACAGGTATAAAGGGCAATCTAAACATTTGAAAGACTACTACAAGCCAATAGCACAAATTATACTAAGTGTTAAAATACTGGTCATTCCCATTCAATTAAATCATAAGACAAAGATGTTCAGTATCACCATGATTATTCCAATTTGTTTTTGCACTAATGAAATAAAGACAACATATACTGGACATGATGAAATTATTATTTATAGATGATATATAGTGAGAAAGTCTAAGAGAGTAAGCAAAATTCTATAAAAACTAATAAATTTTAGTCAGGGTCTGGATAAAAGATGTATCAAAATCAGCATCTTTTTTTTTTTTACAGTAGCAATACCAAATTTTAAAGGAGAAAAAGAGAACCCGCTCACATTAACAAAAATTATGCAATGCCCTGGAACAAACTTAATACAAGACTAGAAGATAAATTACATAAAATTTCACTGAACATGAAATACAACCTGAATAGTATTAACTATCTCAGCAGTATCTGTATCTTCTCAGTCACCCCAACTAGAAACTTGGAGTCCCTTCTAGTTTCATGCTTCTCTTCACATCTGAAATAAGTCATTAAATCCTGCCTATTTCACCTACTTATTTCTCCAATTTTTCACCTCTTTGTTATCTCCACTTCAATTACCCCTGGTAATCCTTTGCAAAGACTCAGCAAATTAAATATTCTCATTACTCCTACCCTTATCTTTATCAAAATCACAGGCTGCCCAGTTGCCAATCAACCTAAAACACAAACCTAAATAGATCAGGCCCCAGTTAAAAGCCAAAGATCACCACTGAATTCAATATCAAGAATAAGGTCTTCAGTCATCTGGACCGAGCTTCATCACCATCATCATCACCACTTCCTCCTCCTCCCCATTTTTTGGTGCCTAAAATAAGACGGTTTCTCATATTAGGATGTGCAAGTATCTCTGCCTAAATGTGTTAGGGCTTCTCACAGTTACCATCATGGTACATCCTACTATACTTGCAACATCAATTTTTGAAAACGATTTTTTAAGAAAGACATATTAAAATGAGTATCTTACAGATGAGAATGCAAAATTTGTATCATTACTTATGTTAAAATGAAAGATTGTAAAGAAAGATGGATAATTACTTATGTTAAAATGAAAGAGTGTAAAGAAAGATGGCATTTACAGATAGCAGCTTTGACCTCTTCCCTTGGCTGAGAATGAGTATGAAGATGAGACACTTATCATTATTAGTGAAAAGTCTAACACCAACCAAAAGGTTATCACTGCATTTGCTAATGAACTAAGGTGTAACTAACACCTGCTGAGAAAGTAATTATGCCAGGCAACTGCTCTAAATTCTTGTAAGTTGATTAGCTCATTTTATAATGGTTTGCACCACCTGACATGACCTCATCTTTACTGCTACTCTCACCCTTGCTGTCTACCCTAGTCATAGTGGCATCCTTGGTGTTCCTGACACACATCATGGTCCCACTTCAGAATCTCTGCCCTTGCTTTTCTACTTTTCCCCCTAGAGAGCAGGGCTGTCTCCTTCAACTCCTTGAAGCACTTCCTCAAATATTGCTTGCTCTATCTTGACCTCCCAACTCCCTTCTTCCCAACCACCATTATTCTCCAAGAATAATTCTGCTAAATTTTTTTCTCCATCTCACCTCTGTTACAAGCTGTTTTTTTCCTATCAGACCATAATTTCCATAACATAGGTTTTATTCACTTAAATCCCTAGTGCTTAGACAAGTACCTGGTACACTGTAGGCTCTCAATGATTTCTGATTTATTTAACTTATTGAACAGGTACTACCGTTAGCTGGATTTTAAGAAACTGAAGCAGAGAGAATCTGCCTTATGGTCACATAGTAAAAGGTGGAACCAGAGTTTGTAAACATAAAGCCTGGCTTCACTGGTCAACATAACTGCATGGTGCCTCTAACTTATATGAATTCCATATGTACTACCTATTTAGTACATTTCCCCAATTAGACAGTTGCTTCCCAGCAGGGATACTTCATCATCTTTGTTCTCCTGCGACTTCTAACCCACGTTATACAATCGATAACTGTTTACAGAATGAATGAATGTATATGTACATTACCTATTTTTACATGTATGTCTCAATTGGCTGGATTATTGTAAGCTTGCAAACTAAAAACTTTTAATATAAAAAATCCATTTTAAAACTGTAATGTAAAAACATTTTTTGAACTGACAAAACATGATCCATGACGAATGATTTTAATTAAAACGACATGCGCCTTGCTCTTTCAATTGTTTCCAAACTGGTTTTTAAAGCTTAATTCAATATTAGCATACTTCCAGCAAAAAAAGCTCCAAAACCAGCAACTCATTTCATTACATACACACGCACAATATTATCTCTTACAAAAAACGCAAAGGGCGGTGCCGTGTTTCATAGAAGACACCGAGGCTTAGAAAGCAATGGATCATGCCAAATAAAAATAGATACCTTCACTTACAAAAACTGACGCTAATGAGAACACTCTCCGCAGCAATACCTGGCCCAGAAGTCACCAGGAGCTAGCTTTCTGGAATAAGTTTGACGACTACCTTAAGGGCATGACTACCTCGCCACAGAATCCCAATGGCCCCAGGCTTACTCTGAAAAACAAACATTTCTGGGTAGAAAGGGTGGACGCAGGAAAAATATTTAAAAAGAGGTCCCTCCCAGGCCCCCTCAAAATCTAGAGGCCAAGATTCTCCTCAGAGCTCCTCACCGTGTCTAGACTACGGGGAGGCGACCATTTCTCAGGCAGAGGTTCATGCACAAAGAAAAACCGGCCATCCAGCGTGAAGGCCGAAGAAGCAAACGAAAACTCAGAGCTCTAATGAACACGGACCCCCCGCGCCTAACCGCCCCTTCGCAAATTGAGTCGCAATCGCATTTCTCGCGAGATTTATCGTCTCCACGGGATCTCGAAGTTGAAAGCTCGCGGCTTTTCGAAGCGACGGTGGGTTGAGGGAATGGGTAAAGAAGTTCGGGAAAGGACAGCTTCCAACCCCCTTGAAGAACCCACAGACCCACTAGACCCTCTCGCATCTCCTTTCTTCATTGACAGCAGCTCTCCCAGGGTACCCAGGGACTTCCGAAGCGCTACCGGAACCGGAAGCATCGGGACTTAGGGGGGTGGGGCTGAAAAATCAAAAAAAGCGCCGCGAAAGTTGGAGGCTGGTGCCGGCAGGGTGGTAGTGGCCCCCAGGTGGGGTTGTGGCGAGTGCCAATGGACTCCACCGCCTGCCTGAAGTCCTTGCTCCTGACCATCAGTCAGTATAAAGCCGTTAAGTCGGAGGCGAATGCCACCCAGCTTTTGCGGCACTTGGAGGTGAGGGACTACGGGATGGGGACTAGATAAGCTTCCCTGTAGAAACCCTTAGTTCACGGTGCGGCCGGGGTGTTGCGGCCCCAGCCTGCAAAGGTCTTCCCATCGCTCCCTTAGGTCTCTTTTTGTATTAGTAAGGAAGGCGAAAGTCAGCCTTGAATTCCCACTCTTAACTCCGCCCAAGTTCATCCGCGTTCAGCTGGCTGCAGCTAGAGGGAATAGTGACTGATACTCGAAGTCCTAGGAAGAGGGAGGGTGGGACAAAATGTTGGGGGATTTAGGCTCTTTGGGGATTGGTAGAGGAGAATGTTCGGACCTCTTTCTTTTCCTTCGTTTCTTTGGTTTTTCCATCGCAACAGAGCTCTTGCAGAATACACAGCAATTCTCGAGAGTGAAGGTGATGGGGAGTGATGATTAAAACTTGTTTTATTCCTGTCCCTTAGGCAGCTTACAATCTGAACCAATTGCTTGCTGCTTCTCTTATAACTCATGTTGAACTCGAATTTGAAAAAGAAAATTTTTTTTTAACTTTCCTTGGGTTAAAAAGCAATCAAAATACTAATCATAATTTTTTTAACCAAAATATACTGTTCCCAGTTTTCAAACCTGAATTGCTAAATTGCTTTCACTTTTTCTGTTAGCTCCCACTAATTTATGGCTAGATCACTTATTCACAGCTTTCTGTGTTCCTATTTGTTTTTAGGCTTTTAATCTCATTTCTTGCACATTCACAGAATTCCAACTAACAATAACCTCAGTTTAATTAAAAAAAAAAATTAAGCTCAGCCAAAGCTTATTTTAATTCCATCTGTCACAGCTTCTGTTAACATAGAACTGAACATAATTTTAAAATATATTCTATTATATTTATGAAATAAAGTCTAGATTACAAAGATTAGCAAATTACTACTGGAGAGAAAAGACTGTTGTGAATAGTACAGCAACATCAATCTGGATAACTGTTGTGATACTGGAATGCATTAAATGTTCCTGTTTCCTCCAGCTTCACTGATGCTCCTTCTTATCACTTCAGGTGCCCATCTCCTAAGTACATTTTCTTTTTTCATTCATTACCTCAACAAATCTCTGCAAAACGAATAAAGTGTTAGCTTTTAAATGCTAAAGCTTTGCTTCTCAATTAGAATATAAAAATGTGATAGTGGGCTCCAGAAGCCACAGAGTAAGCAGTTTTATTTAAGAAGTAGGAGTACATCATTTTAAATACTAATCAGAAACATGCCTTGAATCTGAGAGCCATGTTGCAGTGAATTGAAGGAAATTCAAAGAAATTTGAGGCTTAGAAACCGCTTGATACTGCATTCCGGAACTTTTAAGGGTTTTACTGAAAACTCTTTTGCCATTTAGAGAGATAACATACATACAGCACATAATGTGCACTGATCTTAAGTGAAGAGCTTGAGTTTTTATCATACGTATATAGTCAAGTAGGTACCACTTGTTTCATGACACAGAACATTTCCAGTCCCCTATAAGGTTTCTTCAGTGGTCCCGTTTCATAAGGTTCAGATAAGTGGACTCCTATAATATGTACTTTTGTGTCTGGCTTCTACTCTACAAATCTATAAAATCTATTCATGTTGCACATGTGCCAGTACGTTCATTCTTTTTTATTGCTATGTAGGAATTCCACTGTATAAATGGGCAAGAGCTTACATTCTGCTGATGGGCAGTTGGGTTGTTTCCAGTTCTGGGTAGGATTCAGAGCAAATATGTTATAAACATTTTTATATTTTTTTGAGATATATGCACTCATTTAGATACCTAGGAGTGGAATTGTTAGGTCTTTTGGTGGATCTTTGTTCATTTTTTGTTGAAACTGCCACGCAGTTTTCCACCGGTTGCACCATTTTTACCCTCCTACCAGCAATATGTGAAATTTGCTGTCACTCATCCACACAGATCCTTAGTGTTTTCAGATTTCTAAATTTTAACCATTTTGATGGGTGATACTAATGGTGAATATCTTTGTTCATACTTCATGAGAGCAACATCTGAGGATACAAAGAAGTGGCTATCATGTGAAAGGAGATGATTGATTCTGCTATTTTGCACTTCTATATTTTTTCTTTGTAGCCCCATGCAGGACCTGAGCTTTGAATTTTTTTATGATTGGCAGAGCTGGGCTGGTCTCACTTTTGGTGGTTTTTTATAGTGCTAATGTTACATAATGATTATGAGCATGGATTCGGGAACAATGAATTTCAGTTATGCTGTGTCTTGGTGTATGCCTCAGTTTACTCATCTGCAAAACAGCACTTAACAGTTCTTATGAAGATAAAAAGAATTAACATATGTACATAGAACAATGCTTAGGCCAAAGTAAGTGCTAAAATTAGTTATTACTAAAATCTGTTTGCATGAAAACATCCAAGTAAAGAAAATTTGTAAAGTGGTTTTTACGTTTTACCTTGTAATAAATATTACATGTTGGAGTACTTATGCTGTTGAAATACAGGTCTTGTCCTGAGGCAAATAGTTTTTAAAGCAGAAAATGTCTTTATCTTCTAAAGGACCAGCTTTATATAAGTAAGCAAAAGGGCAATAAGAAGATTCCTTACCCCCAAATATCTACCAAATTTTTTTGTCTTTTCAAATTTACTTTAATGTTTTTTGTTTTTTGTTTTTTACTTTAATGTTGAAACTCTTCAGGGGCACCTGGGTGGCTTAATCAGTTAAGCAACCAACTTCATCTCAGATCATGATCTCACGGGCTCATGGGTCTGAGCCCTGCATTGGGCTCTGCACTGACAGTGGGCATCCTGCTTGGGATTCTCTCTCCCTCTCTCTGTCTCTCTCCTACTTGTGCGCTCTCTCTCCCTCAAATAAATAAATAAACAACAACAAAAATATTCCTTAGGAATAAATATCCTGAAGCTTTCTTATCAGCAAAGCTTTAGAAGAAAAACTGACATCTGGGTGAGGAAATAAAAGAGAGATATAGAAAGGAAGGATTCCTGCTTAGACCTTTTAACAAAAAAAATTTTTATCTAATTCTAAAATAACTTTCCATCTTTATAGAAAAGATACTTATTTTTACAATAGGCTTTTAATAACATTCAAAAAGCATTTTGAAAATACATGGCTGACAACTGTTTTTGGCCTTCAATCTCAGCTTTACCTTTTCAGGGGGAAAAGGAGAGGGTGGTTTATAGAGTTTTAAGAGGGGAGTAAAAAAGTTGAATAACCCAAAAGAAAATTTGTGCCTGACCTGACTACTTGAAATAATTTTCTAAATTTTTTTTAAATTTATTTTTGAGAGTGAGAGCATGCTCGCAAGTGGGAAGGGTTAGAGAGAGAGGGAGACGCAGAATCCCAAGCAGGCTCCAAGGTCTGAGCTGTTAGCAAAGAGCCCCACGTGGGGCTCAAATTCATGAACTGTGAGATCATGACCTGAGCCGAAGTCGGACGCTTAACCGACTGAGCCACCCAGGTGCCCCTAAAATAATTTTTTTTAACTTCCCTTTTTGTCATCTCTAACTTCTGGGCTCAGCAACTGTCTTTGGAGGGAACAAAAGGAGTGATCACATAGTTAATCCCATAGGTAAGCCTTTGGATTTAGCTAGTTTTCACTTTGCATTGTCTCCCTTAAAAATAGGTGGAGTGCATATACTGGAACTTACTGACTCAATAAATATGTTGGTAGTAGAGTGTTGATTTAAACCCTATGACTTAATAGAGTGTTCTGTGTAGTAAGGGTAAGTATTGCTGGGTTGTCAAAGTTTGCCAGCTTGTGAAATAAAAGTATAAAAGACAATAGGATAGTGTAATAGGCAAACCTAACCTAGTTGGTGGAAGAGGGTTAGCTTCAGGCAGAAACGGATTAAAACTCAGATCTGAATGATTATATTAGCTAGTGAGAGAAGAGATGGGTAATTTTCCAGGCAGAGGGAACAGCATTTATGACTTTTCTAAATTGGGAAAAAGCGAGGCAGTGGTACTTTGGAAGAACTGAGTTCTTGTTTGAAGTGGAAAAGAGATGCAAATTGCCAAATCTTAACTAACACATTTTAATGACTGTTTTGTAGGTAATTTCTGGGCAGAAGCTCACACGATTGTTTACACCAAATCAGATACTACCAAGCGAATGCTTGAGCTGCCTTGTGGAGCTACTTGAAGACCCAAGCATAAGTGCACCACTGGTCTTAAGTATCATCAGCTTGCTGTCTCAACTAGGTAATGTATTTAGTTTCTCTTTTCCAGTTTTTAGAAGATGTTGAATTTAATATTTTTAAAAGGTGGATTTAGTTATAGTATTTTTTGGAGAATGATTCGCATTCAAAAGATTTCTTCCTTGTGGGACCTTTCAAAACTATTTTGCGTTATGGATCCCTTGTAAAGAGAATATTGTATGCATCCATTCTTAAAATTATTGGAACAAAGAATCTGAAGTATATCAAAGGTTCAGTGGTCTACAGAAAAGAATACCTTGAGACATGCTGGCCTACTTTTGAATTAAAAAAAAAAATACATGCACATATTACCTCGGCTAACTACATCACTCGGAAAAGTCATAGCTAGCGATGAAAAAAATCACTCTTTTTCGATAGGCTACACTGAACTCAGAGCTAAGGGTAAAAATGTAGGTGTTGCTTTTTCTACTTCTATCTTTAGTTTTTAAATTTTCATTTAATGGGTACTTTTTTTTTAATGTGTGCTTGCGAGTTGGGGGGAGATAATTCTGAGTGTGATTATAAAATTAATACATGCTTATTATGAAAAAAAATCTCAGTGATCCAAAAATATTAACATAGACCAACATGCCCAGTAGGACTTTCTGTGATGATAGAAATATTCTATATGTATATTGTTTGTTATAGTAGCCATTAGCCACATTAAGGCTATTGAGCGTTTGTAGTGTGAGTAGTACACTGAAGAACTAAATCTTTAATTTCAATTAATCTAAATTTAAATAGCCACTGTGGCCCAGTATCTCTCAAGTTAGTACAGATACAGAGTAAAATAGAATGAGTCTTTATTCATCACCACCTCCTCATCATTTCTATGTTGGTGGATAACATTCTTAAGAGTTTGACAGGTGTCTTTCTAGATATTTTCTTTTTTTTTTTTTAATTTTTTTTTTTAACGTGTATTTATTTTTGAGAGAGAGAGGGACAAAGTGTGAGCCGAGAAGGGGCAGAGGGAGAAAGGGAGACACAGAATCCGAAGCAGGCTCCAGGCTCTGAGCTGTTAGCACAGAGCCAGACATGGGGCTCGAACTCACAAACCATGAGATCATGACCTGAGGCGAAGTCCGGCACTAACCAATTGAGCCAGGTGTCCCTTTCTAGATCTTTTCTATTCTATAACAGATAATTTTGGTTATTTTTTTAAAAATGGTGTTGTAGAGCATCAGATTTTTCTTTTTTTTCACTTATCTTAGCTATCTTTCCATGTTGTTATCTAATAGCTGCTTTGTACCACACTGTGGAGTACTATAATTTATTCAGCTATGCTCCTAATGGTGGAAACTAATGTATGCTCTTTTTCAAGTTTTTTTTGCTATCAGAATCAATAGTGCAATGAACATTTTATGGATTTTTTGGTCAAATATTAGTATATTTCTGTTGAGTTAATTCTCAGAATTTTCAGGTCATTTTTCAATTTGATGATTGTTACTAAATTACTTTCCAAAAAAGCTATGCTAATTCTAATATCCACCAACCTTTTGTGTGAGAATGGCAGTCATTTTCAACATTTAAATATATTAGAAATTTTTAAAGTTACAGTCTTTTTTAAGTTTTACTTTTTAGTTAATAGACTTTTATTCCTTAGAGCAGCTTTAAGTTACAGAAAAATTGAGATGATAATCTTTTAACTGCAAAATTTCTGCAAGTATGTAAAGCAAGTTTTTCCCTTAAATTAGTCTACATAGAAAAATCATTTGTTTATTGACAGAAAAGGAAAAGCTTATACTCCCTTCCCTTTTACAGCTCATACTATTTCTTTGATTAAACTTTTGAATTGGAAAGTAATTATAAGTAAAATAGCCATATCATACTTGATAAGTAACTTTAATACAAAATAAACTTAAAGATTATTTCTCTTTTATTCATGAAAACCATGAATAAAAACATTTGGTGCCATTTTGGGGCACCTGGTGGCTCAGTTGGTTAAGCGTCTGACTTTGGTTCAGGTCATGATCTCATGGTTTGTGAGTTTGAGCCCCGCATCAGGTTCTGTGCTGACAGCTAGCTCAGAGCCTGGAGTCTGCTTCAGATTCTGTGTCTCCCTCTTGAGAGAGGGAGCCCCTCCCCTGCTCGCTTGCTCGCTCGCTCTCTCTCAAAAAAAAAATTAAAAAACATAAAAAAAATTTTTTTTTTAAATATTTGGTGCCATTTTATCTTAACTTACAGCTGTAGACAATGAAACCAGAGACTGTCTTCAGAACACATACAACCTGAATAGCGTGCTGGCAGGAATGGTTTGTCGGGGCAGCACTTGCCATGGTGATTCAGTGTTTTTGCAGGTACATACACCCACACAGTACTTTTCACTTAATACTTCTTTTTCCTTCCTTATTTGCAGATCAAAATTCACAGTATCTATTGTAAATTGCTAGCTTATAGCATATGTGCTGGCATAATACTGCATGAATAGGCCCAGTTCTCCCCATTAATAAATTTAAGAGCTGGTTGATTACACATGTACTACTAATTTAAAAGTTTCTAGAGGAGGGAAGCTTATCCACATCCAGCATTATTTTGAAGAGAAACAAATCTACATTATAACTGCTTTGACAGACTTATAAACACAGATGTCAGCATTTTGAGATGTAAGCTATTCGTATTAAAATTGCAAAATGAGTTGGCATCTAGTCTCAGTCAGTTGAGGAAACATTCTACAAAAAAATTGAAGCTATAGATTTAGTTTTATTTAGCATAGACTCGAAGTTCTCATACAGATAATATTTTATTGAACCTAAAGTGCCATCAGTTGCAAGAAAGGAAAACATTACCAATTACACTGACATGCAGTTTTAAAAGTGGCAAAAATATGAAAAAATCTATCTTAGAATTGATGGAATATATATGTTTCAGCTTGCATATTTGTTTAAGATGGTTAAGTGAACGAGGTTGATGACAAGATGCTCTGTTTAAAATAGATTGTGTGGAAATGTGTGGAATCAGGAAATGAACCCTAAAATTCTTAGTAGTCTCACTACTTTATGTTTAAAAATAAAAATGAACCATTTAAGAAATCGAAAAGTTCTTGCTCTAAACTCTGCTTCCTAAAATGGTGACACACTCAGAATATGATTAGGAGTCCATATGAAATGTTTTTATGTTTATATTTATTACTATTTTTTTTTATTCTCAGTGCATTCAACTTCTACAAAGATTAACATATAACATCAAAATTCTCCATTCTGGTGCCAATATAGATGAGTTAATTACATTCCTGATAGATCATATGTGAGTATGCAACCAAACATGTAACCAAATAATTTGTTGATTTATTTTCAAACTAAAACTGTGGAATAGTTCAGTTTTTCTTAGATAATTTTTTCCAGCTTTTTAAATTGAGTGAGACTCTGATTCTTGTTTACTCCTTTTAGATAGTTTCAAGGATCAAGTGCATAAAGCGGCTTTAGTCTTCATAACAGAAATTTATAAAATGAATTGATTTGGACAGAAAACTATCAACCCTGAAAATTGTATGCTTATATTTAATCTTGATAGGAGAATATACTGATGAGATAGCACATGGTCATTCTGTTATTTCCATATTTCTGTGCTACAATTCAATAAGATCATTTAGTTTCAAAACATGAAATAAATGGTCCAAATACTACTCAAAGCTTGACTGTGTTCACATTGTTTTTGCATATAAAAAGGAGTTTAAATGTGAATTACTATCAAAGAGTAATTTAAAATGAACTTAATGCTTTTATCTTTTATTATTTTCCTTAAAACAACAGTCAGTCTCCTGAAGATGAGTTAACAATGCCTTGTCTAGGATTATTGGCAAATCTTTGTCGACACAATCTTTCTGTTCAAACATACATAAAGACTTTGGTAAGAAGTTTTGCGTAAAATCTTTCTTATTTGTGGTGGGTTCTAAACTTACAGAAAATTGTATCCATCTTTTTCTTTAAAAATAGATTAACAAGAATTCTCATGTCTCATGCAGCTGACTCATCAGAATTAAGGAACAATCACATTGACACATAATTAACTTGAAGTATTCCACCCTTTGCACATGTTGTATTTAAGATGATAAGTATTAATAAACGAGTACTAAAAGTTTTCCTTCTCTATAGCATCCCACTATTTCTTGTATTAATTAATAAGAGAAATTCTAAATTATTTTGTGCTAATAGGAAGGATGCACATCACTGGCAATTCCGTTTACCTCAGTCTTCTATTTCCACAAAATTAGTGGCAACTCCGCTAGAAAGATCCATGAATAAATGACTAGCAGTAATCACCAGCCCTTGTGATCACTGAAGGTGAACAAATGAGGTTAACTGAACCACTGTTAGAAATATGTTAAATCAAGAAAGTTCTTTGATTCTTAGTTTGTGAACAGTTTCCCTGCTGTGCAGTACTCAGTATCACCTGTTTCCTGTTGTTAAATTAAACAGTATCTCATTTGTTCATGTACTGGAGGTGCTTTGGAGACAGAAGGTTATCTTGAGCCATGGAAGTGTTTGGGAAAGATAAACATTTCCTCATAGTTCCATATCTTAACATGGGACTCAACTTTCCACTGAGATTGTACCTGCTTTTATTACTATAAGCAATATGGAAAATGTGCCATCTCACTTTTTGAATGATCTATCAAGTTTGATAATGTTAAATAAAAGATTACCTACTCTGTTCAAGATAGACATCCTAAACCAAAATATAATACTAATTTTTGTTTTAATATCTTTTTGAACTTTTTTCTTTCTCAGAATACTGTGAAATCTTTTTATCGAACTCTTATAAGCTTCCTGGCCCATAGTAGTTTAACTGTGGTTGTGTTTGCACTTTCAATATTGTCCAGTTTGACATTAAATGAAGAGGTTGGCGAAAAGGTAAATATGATTTTTTTATTATTTGTGAAATAGTTCTGGAATTTGTATTCTCTGATATTTTAAGTCATTGAGACTCTGTTAAACTTTAGAATGATGTCGACCTACATTTTTTGTATAATATAGTTTTCCTGATTTGTTTTTAAGCTGTTCCATGCTCGAAACATTCATCAGACTTTTCAGCTAATATTTAATATTCTCATAAACGGTGATGGCACACTTACTAGGAAGTATTCAGTTGATCTATTGATGGATCTCCTTAAGAATCCCAAAATTGCTGATTATCTTACCAGGTATGGCTCTCTGACAAATTTTAAGACTTATTGGTATTTCTTTTTTTTCTTTTCAACCAACATATGTTTGTTATTAATAAAACTGCCTTTTCAGATTTAGTGAACTTGGATTCTACTGATGAACAAGGAATAAAATTGAAATATTTTGATGTGCTTTATTCCCAGTCATTTTGCTTTTCGGGTCTGAAATGTAAAAGTGTAAGAATAGGGCAGGTGTGTGTGTTTCTTAGATGAATAAAGTTGTCTCATTCTCTTAAATGTACACATCTTGATTAATCTTTTCCAACACCAGTTTTAAATCTTGACATTAGAATTCTTTGAAAGAATACTGTTACCATAAGAACATTCATGTCAGTGTGTTTGTCCTTTTTTTCTTTTCTGCATAAAAACGGATAACATTATTGTTTGCCTCTGTTGTGTCTTAAGGTAAAATGAGAACACATTTTTTATGCCCATTCTATCTCAGTGACATTTCATGTAATCATTTATCTTTTGAGATCAGTTAGCGACTGTTTTCCAAAGAGCTCATGGCCTTTTTATATCTTTTTTCTTAAATAAACATCTCAGATAACTGCTAGTCAGACCCATCTTTTTGTTACATGTTGATTCTGTCATTAATATTTTTTAAATATTTATTTATTTATTTTTGAGAGAGGGAGAGAGAGAGTAAGAGCACTTGCATGTACACAGCTGGGTAGGGCCAGAGAGAGAGAAAGAGAGAGGAGAGAGGGAGAGAGAGAATCCCAGGCCAGCTCCACACTGTCAGCACAGAGCCCAAAGCAGGGCTGGATCACACAACTGTGAGATCCTAACCTGAGCCAAATCCAGAGTCCATTGCTTAACCAACTGAGCCACCCAGGCACCCTGGCCTTTTAATTTCTGAAGTTAAATTTTCCCAATGCCTTAGCTACTTTGTAATCATGAATTAGGAAGTTGTAGGGATTGCTTCAGACTTCATTTAGTCGTTCACAAATGATAAAACAATTATTGAGCCCCTCCTGTGGTTAAGTATTGGGGGAGGAGGGATTATTAGCAGAGGCAGGGATTTGAAGACCTAGTCTCTAATCTTTGAGGAATGTAGAATCCAAAAGTCGTATAAAGACATAGTCCCTAATTTTAAGGAACATAGAATCTAGAAGTTGAAAAAACAAAAGCTGGATCGCCTGGGTGGCTCAGTCAGTTATGCATCTGACTTCAGCTCAGGTCATGATCTCATGGTTCTTGAGTTCAAGCCCCGCATCTGGCTCTGTACTGACAGTTCAGAGCCTGGAGCCTACTTAGGCTTCTGTGTCTCCCTCTCTCTCTGCCTCTCTGTTCTCACTCTCTTTCTCTCTCAAAAATAAATAAAAACATTTAAATTTAAAAAAATTTAAAAAGCTAACCACTAGGGCAAGGTTGATTACTATCCATGTGGTTAACTGATGTTTTTCAGAACCAAGAAGCATTCATGTTAGCATTTCATTTTTTTTTCTTAAGCATAGGTGGATAAGAAAACCTTCCAGAGTGCCCTTCCTTTACCTGTTCTCTCTTTATCTGTTCTAAGAGTCCTCCCAGTATACCCATTCTGGCCATCAAATAGTGCTTATTTAACAACTTCTAAGTAAACAGGATATACCTCTGCAGGAGGACCAAAAGATAATCTGATTTAGCATTAGTAAGTGGTTGCTTAATCTCTTCTTCCATAAATCTCTCAGTTTCACTATCTATTTTCTGTCTAGCCTAGAACTCCAGAATCACCTCTGGAAAGGAACTTGTATTTAATTGTGTTGTCTTGTTCATTTGCTATACCATTTAGCAAACTATTCCTGAATCTGTCCCAAAGTCTAATGGCCGGGTTCCCAATCAAAACCTGGGAAAATCACACTTTATGAGTTTGTATCCCATATACTCACTATCTCTATCTGGACAGCACCTGTCATATTTATTCCCAGCTTTGTTTTACATTTCCTACAGTGGACCTTTCTTTCTTTCTTTCTTTCTTTCTTTCTTTCTTTCTTTCTTTCTTTCTTTCTT